TCCCCGGTGTTTCTATCGCAGTCTAATTAAAAGTTCACTGAAAGATTGATATACTGAATGAGAATTGACATTTTCGTCAAGGGAAAAAGTAAAAACGGCATGTAGTTTTATCCGACAGAAGAGGGCATTGAAGACGAATGTGTCGGTTTTGGTTCTACACAGACGACATGTCGTTTCTTAAAGCATGCCAATGGTAAACGACATGTCGCTGTTTCTGATAAAAAATAACATACAACGACATTCACAAAAAAACGTGTCGTTTCTTTTTTTGTCCTGAAAAACGTGTTTTACAAGCCGTATATTAGGAGGCTAGGACGTGTTATTGCTGGTCCTATTAATAGAAATGAAACGTCTTTTTTTTTGGACAGAAAAAACGACATTCAAGAAAAAAAACATGTGTTTGGTTATTGTTCATTTGTTCTCCTCAAAACGACATGCGTCGAGCAGAACAACATTATGTTCAGCAAAAGAACATTCACAGAATCATGAGAATGTTTTCCTGTGGAAGAGTACGTCGTTTTTGTTTGACGAATTGTGGGGAAATGACATCTCCTTCGCATTAAACATTCAAACGAATGAAGATAAATTCCGTCTAACGACATGGGGTTTACTAAACGCTAGCTCAGAACATACTTGTTGTTTATCGTTCTCATTAAAACAATGACTAACTAAAAAAAGAGAGAAAAGAATATGTCCTTTGCATAAGTAATTACGCATAGGGTATGGCATATATCAACGACATCGGTTTAAAAGAAAAGTATTTTATTCATTGAAAAAACGACATTAAAAATAACCAGCATTTTGTTTTTTTCTCGTTAATGACATATCGCTATATGAGATGTCTCAGTAAGCGACATGTCGTATGCAACTTATAAACGACAGCGGAGAAAATTAAGTGTCGTTTATGCTCTCCAAGAGACTACCATGTATATTATAGGTGTAGTTTTAATGGTTATTTTATTAATTCATCTATTAATAAATATTATTATTTTAACTATTAGATATTGATTCGATAGTTTTAATAAATTAGATAGTTGACTAAAAAAAATATGACAAACTCCTAAAGGTTACTTATGTTCTCGTAGTAGTACCTTAAGTTTAAAATGTCACTAACATAATGATATTTCATGATGTTTTCTAGGATACTATCAAGGAATGTTGTGCTAAGATATCTTAAACTTGAGGTGCCATGGTTTTATATGCATCTCATGTTTTACTCTCCACACCCTTTTTAAATAAAAAATTTCTAATTACAAAAACACTTATATATTGACGAAAAAGACGATATATTTAATTATATAATTAAATTTTATTATAAAAGAGAAACTAATGATAGATGGTCTTTTTCTCTCCACACACCTCCTAATATCACATTGGCATATTATAAATTATTTGTATTTCAAAAATCTATAGGAAAATCCTAATTTCTACCTTTTAATCACTATTTTAAAAAATTACATGGAGGTATGTTAAATTTTCTTTGTTATTATTTTTTGTTAAATTACATGGAGGTATTTGTCTATTCTTTAGAAAGAGAGAATTTGTTTGTTACTAGACAATTCAAAGTGATTTTATGCAAATCTATTTAATTTGACAAATAGAAGCGGCTCCAAAAGAAGTACTTTAAATATTCCTGACTACTACAAGATGTAATAGTAAAATTTTCATGCATAAAATGGTTTTTTTTTTATTAAATAAAGAGATATAAACAAAAGATTGAAGGGGGTGTGAAGAGTAAAAATGTGAGTATGAAAAGAAAATAGGGGCTGTAAATAAAAGTATTCTTAATATTTTTATTAAAATAGTTAGGGGTAATTTTGAAATAATAAACGAGTATAAAATGAAATTTAACCATTTTAAAATTACATCGAGCGAGTAGTTAGAAAAGAAGTATAGAAAATAAAAAGAGGGTGCGTATTGAAAAAATGAGTATAAACTCTATACGTTATATAATTAGAACAAAAACTATTATTATTTTTTTGGATCAAACAAAAAACTATTATTTATTCAACTGAAACCAATTATTTTTTAATATTTACACACAATCAAACTTTAGGTTGTTAATTGAGATGATTTAAATTCAATTTCAAGGTTGTCGCTATGGAAAAATTAAGTAAACTTAGATATATGCGTTTGGTTAGTAGATTTGTGCCATAATTCGAATCATAGTTCGTGGTTCGCTACAGTATTTTCTCTCATAAAAAACACACATAAACGAAAAATAATTCTGAATCATAATTCTAAATTTATGAACAAAATCGAAAATGGTTTTAAATATTTTTTGGCTCGTTATTTTGAACTAAAACTCAAAAAACTCAGGTTCGGAATGCGTTTTGTCGTTTTGTGCCCCTTTCTTAGTATCTCTCACTGTTTGTTTGTTTTTTGTTTTTTTTTTCCTGGCTTTAAATATGTCACAAGAGTTTGCCATTTTACGTAAAATAATAACCAAAACGTGTATCATCTCTATTAAAATAACTCTTTATAAATACGTTTTCACTTGATTTTTTTATTAGATTTTCAAATATAACTACATCAAAATGATCCTTATAAATATATATTTTTAATTGCATGCTTAAAATATATTTTTTTAAATATATCTCTATGTTATAGATTTTTTTTTTCCTCTTGTGATCCTCTTAGCTACTGTTTTTCATAATTTTTTAAAATAACATCTATCCGAATGTGAAAGAAAAAGAATAAATCTCACACGTACTTTTTGAATTTTAAAATTATTTTAACTTCACTCTTTAAATTTCAAATTACTCTTATTTCGTCTTTTTACTTGATCCTTTTTGTTAAATATTTTGTTTAAAAGTAAATATAAAATAAGAAAATTAACTTAGGCTTAGTTTGGTATTGCCTTTTTATCCCAAAATCAGTTTCTGTTTGTAGTAGAAGTTGATTTTAGTGTTTGGTAAATCTCCTTAAAAGTACTTTTTGAAGAATTTTTAAAAAATATATAATCAAAATCAGAAGCAGCCTAAAGACAACTTTAACTTTTAGATTGTGGGGGAATCATCATAGTACAAGTAATGAAACTTTCATAATACCCTTAATGAAATTTAAAATTTACAATCTATCCAATCTAAAATTCAGACTCGTAATACAATACAATATAATATAATATAATATAATATAAAAGTAATATTGTAACAAATAATATCATAAATCTATTAATAACTCTAATATTATTATTTTATCCTATAATATGATATTATTATAATATTATAATTATTTTAATAATATGATATTATAATTATAATATGATATTATAATTATATTTGTATAATATAATATAATATAATATAATAATGATTATATAATATAATATATTATAATATAATATGATTGAATTTTTAATTATATTATAACTGAAATATTAATATTTCTCATGTATTATTATAATATGTTTTATAATATTGTAATTATATTAACCATTTTAATAATATTATTATATTCTATATCATAGTTATATAATATGTTATTTAATAATAATTTTATTGTATTATATAAATATAATAATAAATATACATTATATTGTAATTATATATATATATATATTATATTATAGTATAATATAATATAGTTGTAATTTTTAACTATCCACAACAATTAAACTTCATAATTTATCAAACGTTATTACACTGATTTTGAAACCAACACAGCTAATATAATTATAGTTTACCAAACACACAGCTGTTTTTTATAATAGCTGCTTCTTTCTTCAACACAACTAAAAGTTTTTTTTTCAAACTCTATAACACTACCATACTAAGCCTTAGTTAGCTCGTTGTATTATAATTTTTATTAAAAAAAGAATGAAATAAATAGTAGATTTATAGAAAATAATTGCAGTAAATAGTATATTTTAAAACTATTATTTACCGTGTAAATATTTCATTTATAACTGAAAAAGATATTTTCAGTAAATTTTCTTTTTAGACTAATAAAAGAATTTTTTTCACCTAAATAAAAGTTTTTTACAACGTAAAGTTTTTTACTTGTCATAAATAAATTATTTATATGGTAAACAACTATTTGTTTTAAATAATTTAAAAATATACCATTACTTAATTTAATTTTAAAAATATGTTATTTACTTCAATTTTTTTAAAATACGTGACTACACTTAACTCCTTATTTCTTCGTTTATTATTAATGAAAATTCTAACCGAGGATGTTAAGTGATAACAGTTTAAAGTCTAAAGGGCAGAGTCATAATTTTTAAGGCCCCATTCATTTCAGTGAATTGAATTTAGAATTCAAATTTTACTACAGTAAAAAACTCTCAGAAACAATCACATCTAACTTTTTTACTACAGTAAAAAACTCTCACATAAAGTCACATCTCAACTCGAATTAAAAACTCGAATCAGCAAACTAAACGGGCCTTAAAGTTACAGCGTGTAAATTTAAAACGACCCTAAAATTTAAGAACATAAATCTAATAATATATAAAAAATTCAAAGCTCTTTTTTATGGTATTTCAAAAAAGAAAAGCTATTTTCTATGGTGGGAGTCCCCCACTTACATTTTATTTTTACTTTTATCTGAATTCTTTTACATTTTAATTTTTTTTGTATTTTTTAACATATATTATTTTTTACTTTACTTTTATGAGAATAAAATGTTCACACGTGTTTATATTTTATTTTTAGTTAGTTAAAATAATTTTTTTAATATGTCTTTACTTAATTTTTTTTGTTAATTATTATATTTACACATATTTTTTAAATATAAATTTAAAAATTATTAAATAATTATAAAAATAAATTTATAATTACTCGGTAAATCTGTACATGTTGAAGCACGTTACAAAACTAATAAGAATAATGATAATGAAAAAAAAAAAAAAAAATCCCCT